TGATGAGGAAGACGTCATGGATTTGGTCCGCCAGATTCGGACATGCGACAACCTGGAAGAACTTGCAGCTACCATCGACGCCCAGGAGAAAGGCCTGATAGAGGGACCCGACGACTCCCCAATATACAAGGATGAACCTGGTGTACCCAAATTCGAAGCCGAGCTATCGGGGAAAATGGGCGACTTGATGCTGGATGGATCCGTCAAATTCATCGGGGGAACTTCGAATTTGATCTGGCTGCCCGAGGAATATGATCATCGAGGGTCACATAACTCGTCAGCTTATCAGCAGGTCGTGGTCCGGCCTAAAGAAGAAGCCATCCTTGCATGGACGACCGTCACCCAAGACAAGGAGGCTATCCTACATTTCATGAATATGTACTTTTGCTGGCACTATGCCTTTTTCACCACCCTGGCCAAGGAACTTTTCTATCGGGATTTCCTGACTGGAACACCCTCCCAGTACTGCTCACACCTCCTTGTCAACGTCATGCTAGCGCTTGGATGCCACTTCTCATCGCGACCTGCTGCGAGAGCAGATCCAGAGGATTCTGGGACCACGGGTGACCACTTCTTTGGAGAGGCCAAAAGGCTTCTTTATGAGAACGACGAGTTTGCCAACGCGAAACTATGTACCGTCCAGGCTCTAGCATTAATGTCAGTAAGGGAAGCTGGATGCGGCCATGAAAGCAAGGGCTGGGTTTACAGTGGTATGAGTTTTCGAATGGCTTGTGATCTAGGATTGAATGTGGATACGGTGCCTATCAATGAGATGTCACGTTTGACAGACGAGGATATTGATGCAAGACGAATCACTTTCTGGGGCTGTTTCCTGTTCGACAAGTAAGAATTTTATGCTCTGACGCCGCGTCTTTGCTAATGGGTTTCAGGTGCTGGTCCAACTACTTGGGACGTCAACCTCAGCTTCAAATGCCTAATATCACCGTAAAGAAGCCCGACGTGTTCCCATCGGAAGACAGTGAAATGTGGTCGCCATATACGGATTCTGGTATCATTCAGGCCCATGCACAGCCGGCACGCACCAGAGCTGTGGCATTGCAATTGTCAAGACTGGCAGAAATATCCAGTGACCTCCTGACATCATTTTATAACCCGCAGCTGCTCGACAAGCCTCCTCCAAGACAAACAGAACTGAAACGACTGAGCGACCTCCATACTCGGCTAGAAGCTTGGAAGCAAGGGTTACCAGCTGAGATGGAACCTAGAGAGGGGCAGCTTCCTCAGGTCTTGCTGATGCAGTAAGTCTTTGAGGTTCAAAAGGTTTAAGATGCGCCCTGACTAGAGACAGTATGTTTTATCAACTGTTATACATCCATCTGTATCGACCGTTCCTGAAATACACCCGAACGACCTCACCACTTCCAGCACATGTGTCTCCCAGAAAGTACTGCACTCAGGGAGCTGCGGCCATCTCCAAGCTTTTTCGACTCTACAAGCGGACACACGGCCTTCGACAAATATGTAACATCGCAATTTATATTGTACATTCAGCTTGCACAATTCATCTGTTGAATCTGCCAGACAAGAACGCTCGGAGAGACATAATTCATGGAGTCAAACATCTCGAGGAAATGGGAGACTGTTGGACAGCTGCCCGACGAACACTCAGAGTTTTGCATCTGTGCGCCGACAGATGGAGCATTGAAATGCCCGAGGAAGCAGAGATGGTTTATACGCGGCTCAGAGTTAAATGGGAACTGGCGCCAGGTGCCCCGTCTCCGGTATCGCCCGAAAGTTTAGCCAACATGGCACAGCAGATCTCATCTCAGCCCGTGCCTGACTTGATGGCGATGAATGTTCGGCAACAGCAACAGCAGTCGCAGGCCCTGCGACAATTTTCAATGTCCCAGTATGCAGGTGGACTCTCCGCTGCCATGGCTGCATCACCGGCGGAAACGATCGATTCTCGACGGACCTCAGGAGGGTTGTCCATGCCCCCACAGTCTGCAGCCGACCTCTCCCGAGACTCTCATCGTGTTCGCCCTTCAACCTACCTTACCAAAGCGCAACAGGATGCATGGAACGCACACCAAGCCCGCATCGCAGCAAACGCAGGTGCAACGTCGTCGAACAATACAGGCGCTGCGGGCGAGCAGAATGCTGCTAGATTGTTTGGTGGGGTGGATAGTCTGATTGAAGAATCGCAGGACTGGTTCTTCAAGGATCAGAACCAGTTGGCGATGGGCTTTGAAAACTGGGGATCTGAGCCGCAAGATTGGGGGACCCTTGACCTGAGTTTCTTTGACACGCCGGATACGGGATCCAGTACGAATGACAATACCAATGGCAACTCACCCTCCTACAACGGGCTTCAGTACTCGTATGATTCAGCGACGGGTCCGACAAATACGGGCGGGTTGGGAAACAAGGGCGGGCACGGATTTGGGTTCGCAGGGGACGGGTTCCCAACAACAACCGACACCGACATTAATGGCATGAACACGAATGGAACGAATGGAATGAATAATTTAATGGGACCAGGTACAGGCTTGCGATTAGGGATGAATATGGGAATAAGTGGAAATGGTTCAATAGGGGCTGGTATGAGAAATGTGAGTATGGGCGCTCCCGGCGGTTCTAAACGCTCTTCTCAAAATCTGGGATTTGATGACGAGGTATATTATTGATATACGGCTTTGATTGTTTGAGGCGCGAAACTGGATATGGCAAGATCTGAAGACTTGAATATGTGGCAAAGTCGTGAAAACAAACACAGCAGCCACTATGGCGTTGCTAAGACACCAATGACTGGGTGTAAATGGAAGATCTCTTTGCTCCTGCTTCTCTATGATTCGATACTGGATCGTTAAGCACCCACGCAGTGACAGGGGAGTCAGATTCACTGTTAACCAGCCTCGCCAGCTTCCAGGGGAGTTGCAGCCTTGCCAAGACTCAGCCTTTCCAGAGTGCGCAGCACTGCAGTGACGTAGTTCGCCAAACAAAACACTGCTGGACACTCCTGGTGACGCCAAATCGTGTCGTTGTGTTTCGGCGATAGTACTGAGTATAACCCGCTCAGGTTTTGCCTCCCCGGCCCTCTGGTGAGCGGCTGCCGTTCTCTCTTGTCTCCTGAGAAGAACGGGGGATATTTCAATTATGTCACTTCTCCTCGACTGGCTAGTCGAGCATGAACCTTTATTTCGCAAGTCCGCCTCTCCCTCTGTCATTTTTCTGAGTCGCGTTCAGACCATTTGCCGCACATGACGTACTGACCCGGCCTTCTTTTATGTGATAGAACACGCCTACCCTCGCTATACTCCGACCTCAACCTCCAGCGCACCTCCAACCCTGAAGGCTATACCGCCAACGTCACTGCGTGGGCGTCCGCCCTCACTCGCAGCGCCCTCGCGGGACAAATTCCCCATGAACAACATCATTTGATTCTGCAAACGAGTGACGAGCTGCTCAGTGCACTGGCGAGCCCGATGTATGGTAGACCTAGTGGGCTTGGGAGTGTTATAGATGAGTGTCTGAGGCAGGGGAAGATGATTGATCTACAGGATTTTATCAGCTTAGAGAGCAGCATCTATTCCAAAAGCTGGATACCAAGTCCGTGGGCGGTTCTGCGTTGGAGCTTACAGAAGACCGGGCTATCGTGGAGCACCGGGAGTTTTGATTTAAGTGGTGGGAGGTTAAAGAGAGGGAGTCTAGCGCTTGTTCCGGCATTGGAGGAAGTCTGGAAGAGACTGTCTGCTACCAGGGAGAAAGGAGCAAAGGAACAGACGCTGAGTGAGAGAGTGATGACCCGGGAGATGTTTCTGAAGGAGGTTAACAGCGTCCTCGCTCAGGCCGGCGAGATGACAGGGTCACTGTCAAATCAAGACCTCGAAGTGCTGCTACGCTACCTCTCCCGCGACAAACAAATGCTGGCCTACGATGCCAGCACGGTGAAGTTCAAAGCTCCTCTCTCTACAGCCATACCGGAGCCAATAACTCAAGAAGACCACTCCATCGCCTCATTGAAATCCCTCATTGAGGATCTCCAGCAAAAGGCCACAACTCTTTCCGCGCGCATCACAACACTGCAAAACAAAGCTTCGTCCGCCGTGAAAGTGGGCAATAAACCTAGCGCTCTCTCGGCTCTTCGCTTGAAGAAACTCGCGGAGCGAAACCTCCAACAGCGTCTGGACACGCTGCATCGGCTGGAGGAAATATACACCAAGATCGAGTCTGCGGTGGACCAAGTCGAAATCCTCGCGGTAATGGAATCGTCTGCTTCCGTGCTCAAGGCTCTAAATAAGCGGATAGGAGGGGTTGAGCGCGTGGAGGACGTCCTGGAGAGCTTGAGCAAGGAAATTAGAAAAGTCGATGATGTCTCTGAAGTTTTGGCCGAACCCGTGGACCAGAGGGTGATTCTCGACGAGGGTGAAGTAGACGAGGAGTTTGAGGCGATGGAGAGAGAAGAGCGCGAGAGGGCCAGGAAAATCGAGGAGGAGAAGACCAGGCAGAAGCTACAGGAGCTGGACGCGATTGAACATATCCAGAAGGAGAGGGAGAGGGAGAGAGAAAGGGAAAAAGAAAAGCAACGAGAAGGCACAGCGCTGAAGCAAGATGACCAAGCCAAAGACAGGGAGTTGGAACAAGCCCTGTCGACGAGTATAGAACAGATGCAGAGATTGGATATTGATGGTCAAAGAGAGGAAGGCGGGCAAGGACAACATGGGAGGGAAAGATCGGGCCATGCAACGCAAATCGCCGAAGAAGCATCATAGTCAGATTTAGGAGGATGGCGCAGCCAGGGATGTCCGACGGGACTTGGAGTTGGACGGGAACCACCCAATACAGGTTCAAACGAATTCCTTTTATCGGCTTCATCGTGGCCATTCCGTACAACTTTATGAATTTCAGGGCCAGAGCGCTATGTCATAAACCCCTGAGCTGGCCACCCCAAAATTACGCAGGCCTCAGGTCTATCTAAGATCTCCCTATTTTCGAGGCCGTGGGCCACTCCAACATATCGGCATGTTCATCAATCCCTCTCAGACGAAGAACCTGCCGTGAGGTCGTTCCGGAGGTAGTGTCAGGTCAACCTGAACAGCCAACTGTGATTCTGATGTATCTTCCAACTGTTGGGGTGATGGGATAGCTCTTGCAGTCTCCTCAGAGTGACCGTTGGTTGTATCCTCCTTAGACTCGAGGTGCTGTCGCCCTTGTATTTCCACTACACTTCCAGGACTGGATCTTTCTCCAGCGTCAGCTGAGCATTCTGAACCTGCTGGCTCAGCTCCAGATATTTGCCTTGGGGACGCGCTCTCCATCGGATCCCATGGAGCGGCGTCTGATGTTGGGTTTTCCGCTGCAGACGACGACTTTTCCTCGGGAAATTTTGGTTTCCTCGCCCTAGCCTGCCGGATCAGGTCGTCAAAATGGCTTTTTTGGCTCTTCACGTGGCGTTCTCTGTCAAAATCTTTTGCCATAAACCCCGTATTTGACGGCTTTTCCGGTTGCCGTCCCAGCGTATCCTCCCAGATCTTCAATTCCCGCAGTAACTCTCTTTTTGTCACTGGTTTGGTAGAGTCGCAATTGGCGTTCCACAGATTCACCCACTCGGTGTGGCGCCTGCGCATAAGATCTTTTGAGCCGAGATAGGGAATGCCCAGATCTCGCAGCTTTTTCCGTAATGCGTTGTCAGAGAGGAGGGAGTAGTTTATAAAGGGCAAGCGATCATGTTGTTTGGCAGGTTTCCCCTGAGCATAGGCAATGGTGCCAGGCGGGGCGACATGTCGGGCATTAGAAGGTGGAGCCGGAGAATAAGATCCGACCTCGTCGCCCGGCGTATGGCTGTCTCCTTGTATGCATTTATCTAGATGCGAATTTATGAGCGCTTCTTTCATTCGCCGGTGGCAACATGGACACTGGACGAGACCATCCTGTGGTTCCAGATTGCCATTGTCATTGACGAAGTGTGGGCTCTTATGTTCTTCTGGGTCCTCGTAGACACTTCCTTCTTCCTCGCTGTCATCTATGACTTCCTGGGTTGATGCCATGCTCTGTTGACTGTCGATATCCGAGGCAATTTTCCTACTCTGACTTCGGGTGCTCCGTCTTTCAATGCCGTTGCTTGTCGATTCTGGTGCCAGCTTCCGCCTCTTCCTCGGTCTCTGAGTCTCGCCATCATCCTCCCGTTCCCTTCCCTTGGCAAGACTCGCCGTCGCAAACGCGAGGAGACCTTTGCGGGAGGCAGTGAAATGGGCGACCAATTCTTCGACTGCCCAGTTTCTCCGCAGCTTTATTTCCTGATCAGCGTCTCGACACGCCGGGCATCTTCCTTCCTGAGAAAGACACCTTCGTATACAGAGACTGCAGAAGGTGTGGGAACAGCTGGTCATCATAGGAGTGGTGAAGTAGTCCTTACAGACTTGACATCGCAGTGACGAATCGAGGGGTGCAAGGGCGGCGAGAGGAGTTTGGAGCCAGTCTGTACTGTCTGTGAATTCATCTCGATCTGCCATCACGACTTCAATAACCTAGTGCAAAGCTAAGGGTTAGGATGTCGCGGTCGCCCAACTGTTTAAACCAGGCGCAGGCGGCATGAGGCCTGTGACGACAATAACGAGATGATCGGAGATCGGAATGAATGTCGTGGCGGCTTAGCGTGTTTTTCTTCCCTGCAGGTTCTTGTTACGCGTAAAGTGGCAGTCGCGTGCCTCGTGACGCAAACTGAGGAGCTAGCGAGCACCACCAGCACACAGTGCTTTCTACACAACATGTCATCGTCTACCTACGAAGTAAAAGCTGCTACTAACAAAGTTGCTATCTGGCCATTTCTGTGTCAAATACGCACAAAGTACCTCATCGTGTGAACAAAGCCTGGCTAGGAGGATCGGGGTGAGGTTTGGCCTATGACGACGATATCGGTGATTGTGAAGTGGACGAGTCTTTCGGGAGCAAGGGCTAAACGGCACATTCGGCAGTATTTGGGCAAGGCTGACTCTTTGAAGGCGGTCGAGATAGGCTTTGCATTTCCCTCCCTGCACTGAATAATGGTCTACTGCCCATGTTGGGCCAGAACGAGAATACATGCAAAAACAGCTCCAGAGGGACAGACTTTTAAGTCATATTGCACTACCAGATGTCCGCTACCACTTGGCTCGTCTATGCAATGTCCGATAATAACCCCGTGCCAAAAAGTCCCATGTACTAGAACCGAGGCGGTCATTAGACCTCGATCCCACCTCATGGGTTGTCGTGCGCAATCTGGGACCAAGCCAGTCATTGACATCATCAGCATATCGCCCCGTTGTCGCAGCTCGAGTTCGGCGCCCCATTTGCTCGATAGGTCCTCTCTTGAGATACGTGGTCTGGGCAGATTGCTCTAACGTCGAAGACACAGGAAGTATCGTGCGAGAAATACTCTCGCAACAACAACGCTCCAGTGCACAGCCCAATCTTGGTTGCAGGGTCTAAGAATAGACTTCTTGGGAGGGCCTCGCCAGGGTATTATTCCTGTGCAAGCCTCACGGTTCATTCTCACACGATGGTGAGGGATGCTCGTCGGATGCCATCGACAAGGCACTGTATTTGCCATGCCAATAACATCAACACCCGCTCAGGATGAGGGAGTAATTGAATCCAAGAAAAGGTTGGGTTCCTGTCGTCTGGGAAGCCACTGAATCGATGGCTTCTGCTTTTTGCATATATCTGTAACGTTGAAACCGGTTGCCGGACCATGTTCTCAGCGCTCAATAACCGTATCGTATAGCACAAGTCTGTGGACGTTTTGTTCATTCAAAGTCGTCGTCTGGTCGATATGTGTCGGCTCTGTTCAGCCGGGCTGGACTCAACGGCGTCACAGGCTCCAGCAGGCTCGTTCCTGCTCCGACGCTGCTTCCTAAGAAATTCCTTCTGTGTCCCTTACTGTCGACTTTCTCCAGAGGGTTCATTTCTTCCACCGTTTCGTCTTCCACGTCAGCTTGGACGTCCAGAGGGCCCTCCAGTTCAATCTGTCTTGTCGCTCCACTGAAGCCTCTCTTCCTTGCTTCTCCCAGCTTCATCCTCACTGCCAGTCGCAGTTGTTCCAGGTATTCGGCTAACTCGTGGAACTGCTTATGTGATCCACTATTCTTCGTTTCACTGTAGAGTTCTTGTGCCTCATCAAGCCTCTCCGCAGCGATTTCTGCTCGGCCGAGTTTCATCCATTCGTCTGCAGCCATAATACTCCATAGCGCGGCTTTTCTTTTGCGCATGCCCCAACTCGTATTGCCGATACCGATCCGGTCCGCAAAAGAAGATGCAACTCGCTCACTGACCAAGACGTGTCCGATACTACCTACCAGACCTAGCTCGAGGCTGCGGATCGCCCACTTCGCCGCCAGTTCGCCGGCTGATCGGCCTCTAACCTTTAAAAGCTCGACGCCGAGCAAGATAGAGCGCAATGCAAGGGCGGGCTCAGAACACCGGGTCAAATATGAATAACTCGCTGTTTCAAGCATATTGTCGAAGTTTTCAATCTTGAATTTGGAACTGCCACTGCTCGTGAGCGGATTCAGGAGGGTAGCGACACAGCACATTTCGTTCGCTCCAGCCAAATGCTTCCAGGCTTTATCGTTTGAATAGTCACTCCGAAGCAGCTCATAGGTTGATGTCGCCAGCTTGTAATCTCGTAACATGAATGCATAGTCGGCAAGCTTCCGCAACAGACTCTCGGGGGCATCATAACGGTATGTCCCCTGCAGACTGTCGTAATTGCCGCTTCCTCCAACGTTGGTGATTGAGGATGAGCTTCGAGAAGAGCTTCCAATTCCGGTCCATCGCTTGGAAAGAGACATGAACCTGCCCGAGATACCCCGACGACGTGAGGCGATCTGTTCGTTCCACAGAGCAATTCTTTGCTCCATATGGTAGACTATAGATTGTGCAATAAGTTCGCGGACAAATGCGCGCAGGGCAGCGGCGTCCGAGGAGAAGATGTAGGGAGATGTAGATGTGTTAAGTTCAATGAGATCCGCAGTATCCTGCAGGAGGGAAAGTTGTTCAGTTGGGGAAAGCCATTCGCCGCTGGGGAGCTCTTCGGTGTCATCATCGCTTTGTGTGCAGGACACGGACCTCAGCCGGAGAAGATGACAATGAAGGCCAAAATGTCGCTTCATCTGATCAAAGAGTGCAGAAGACTTGCTGAAGTCATCTCGGTCCTCATCGTGGACAAGTACATAATATCTGAGGTATTCCGGATGGGCATACGCGGGTAGAGCCCGCGAACCCGATGCGGTTTGCTGATAGAGATTGCGTAAGGTCTCGATAGGTTGTGTCGTGGAAGAACTGATAGCTATGACAGCGCCCGCTGGATGTCGAAACGACTCATGCGGGCTCATGGTTTGAGAGGACAGAAGCCGGGCCAGAAACAGTCGATAGAAGGGAGAAGTCTCCCCCCGCCCCAGGATATCTTCTGTCTCGTCAAAGCCGTCTCCCACAAAATGTTCCATCAACTCTTCCAACTTTTCTGTGGAGTTGGGCACGGGGTGTGAGGATGTGCTGTCCCTAACTAACTGCCCGAGGTCTGCAAAATGAACGCCAAAATCTTCCCATGCACGGCTCGCTCCTGTGCTATCTCGTACCACCACTTTGCCATTGATCTTGTCGCCGAACGGGCGAACCAATCCGACAAAACCATTTTTCAACCCTTTGCGAGCGGCGAGTTCGTCCACTTCCGGCGATGCGTAGATTGCAACAGTGGGAGAAAAGGCCCGGACGATTAAAGATCTCGTATCATCATAAGACTCTGAGGGATTACCCAAGGGGCTGTTGGCTCGCGACCTCCCAAACCTCGATAATGATAAGGACAACCTTCCGTTGGGAGAGCTAGAGCGGGATAGGACGCTAGACAGAGTGCCGGTTCGGGAATCTAAGGCGGGAGAGCTCGAAGTACGGATAGGGAGACTGGTGGTGGACGTCTCGGGTGAGTCATTTCTCGCGGGTGGTCTTGTCTTGTGAACCTCGAGGGTTGGGATCGAGGACGAGAACAGGTTCTCGGGCGACTGAAGAGGGTCTCCATCACTCGGCGAAGAGGTCATGGACAATGATGGAAGAGGGTCTCGTCAATGGCGTCGACTTGTGCGCTGGCATGGAGCGTGTTCTTTTGGGACCTTGAATGACTCGGAATTATCAGCATGTCAAGGAGCGTTCATGAGTTCATGTTCATAGAGCATCTCGCTTTCAGTTCGTCTCCGAGATTTGCACAATCAGTGTCCGAGAATGACAGAATATTGCGGGCCGGAACTGTGTACGAGCGAGAGGACGCAAGCGACGCTCGCAGCCTCGGGACCAAGTTGATCCGTCGTGTTGTAGGTACGGCGAATCACTACGGCGTCTAGCAGAAGCTATTCGGTCAGTGATATATACCTAGTAAAGCAAATATCGATCACATAGCCAGCCTTTCACTCAGCAAAAAAAGAAAAGAACTTCTTCATTGAGTCTAGCTTAAACGTGTTCCCATAATATTCGTTGCTTGACGCGTCTATTCCTGGCGAGACAAAGTATGGCCCCCTGTCAGTGAAGTCCCATCATCTGCTTACTGTTCTCGTAGACGATATAGCTGATGCTGACCGCCGGCGCTACCTTCAACAGGTTCGGCGTCACCCCTTTGAAAAGTCCTTTCACTCCCTCTCCTTGGACCGTCCTGATCGTGACATCAACAATCCCCTTGTATGTAGGCGGATGCAGCACTGTTCCTTGAGCTTGTAACCTCGTCCTTAATAAATTGATGGGGTACACAGCCGTTGCGCTGATCGCCCCCGAGGTTGCTCCAATGACGCCGGTGAGAAGGTTGCTCATCTCGACATCCTCCTCGTGGCAGCGATGTTTCTTGGCTTTCCGTGCCAGGACAAAATGTTTGCAGTTTTCAAAGATGAATAGATCGATGGCGCTGTAAGGGAACATGCCGGCGAGGCCCATTCCTAATCCTCGGTAATATGGCATGAGTCCACCCTGTTTCCACATTTTCCGCGCCGTTTGAGCGATCAAGGCGTTTCCATGTAAGCCGCCCTCGACCGTCTCGCATTGCATGCGGCTGTCGCATCTGTCGTTAGTCCGTGCCCACCGAGCCTAAATAATAGAGATGATCAAGACGTCGCTTACAATTTCAATGTATCGAGAGGGTAAACCACGCATTGAGCAACTGCACCACCAATGCCACCAGCCAGGAACTGTGAGGTCGGGTGCAGATGCTTTGGATCCGATCCCTCGAACTCGGCAAACATCTTCTTGGCGGCCTCGTAGGCACCGAACTTGATTGCTGATTCAGGCATGACCTTGACGACATTAAGGCCATTCCCAGCGAATAGGCTTCGCATCCCCCCAGCTCGCCACAGATCCTTGCATGCGTCGACTAGCGGTCGGGCAAAGTTTTTGATCATCTGAAGGGGAGCCCCTTTCTTGGCCGCTTCCACTGCCGCTTGTTTCGGATTTGTTTGGGCAATTAGGTAGACCTTGAGTCGGTCAAGCGGTGCTGTGGCCG